CAGCTTGGAGGAATCACCACTCTTGTCCTACAGCTTGGAGGAATCATCACTCTTGTCCTACAGCTTGGAGGAATCATCACTATTGTCCTATAGCTTGGAGGAATCATCACTCTTGTCCTACAGCTTGGAGGAATCATCACTCTTGTCCTACAGCTTGGAGGAATCATCACTCTTGTTCTACAGCTTGGAGGAATCATCACTCTTGTCCTACAGCTTGGAGGAATCATCACTCTTGTCCTACAGCTTGGAGGAATCATCACTCTTGTCCTACAGCTTGGAGGAATCATCACTCTTGTTCTACAGCTTGGAGGAATCATCACTCTTGGCCTACAGCTTGGAGGAATCATCACCCTTGTCATACAGCTTGGAGGAATCATCACTCTTGTCCTACAGCTTGGAGGAATCATCACCTTTGTCATACAGCTTGGAGGAATCTTCACCCTTGTCCTACAGCTTGGAGGAATCATCACTCTTGTCATACAGCTTGGAGGAATCATCACCCTTGTCCTACAGCTTGGAGGAATCATCACTCTTGTCCTACAGCTTGGAGGAATCATCACTATTGTCCTACAGCTTGGAGGAATCATCACCCTTGTCCTACAGCTTGGAGGAATCATCACTCTTGTCCTACAGCTTGGAGGAATCATCACTATTGTCCTACAGCTTGGAGGAATCATCACTCTTGTTCTACAGCTTGGAGGAATCATCACTCTTGTTCTACAACTTTGAGGAATCATCACCCTTGTCCTACAGCTTGGAGGAATCATCACTATTGTTCTACAGCTTGGAATAATCACCATTTTCCTACAGCTTGGAGGAATCATCACTCTTGTCCTACAGCTTGGAGGAATCATCACTCTTGTCCTACAGCTTGGAGGAATCATCACCCTTGTCCTACAGCTTGGAGGAATCATCACTCTTGTCCTACAGCTTGGAGGAATCATCACTCTTGTCCTACAGCTTGGAGGAATCATCACCCTTGTCCTACAGCTTGGAGGAATCATCACTCTTGTCCTACAGCTTGGAGGAATCATCACTCTTGTTCTACAGCTTGGAGGAATCATCACTCTTGTCCTACAGCTTGGAGGAATCATCACTTGGAGGAATTGTCCTACAGCTTGGAGGAATCATCACTCTTGTCCAACTTTGAGGAATCATACATCACTCTTGTCCTACAGCTTGGAGGAATCATCACTCTTGTCCTACAGCTTGGAGGAATCATCACTCTTGTCCTACAGCTTGGAGGAATCATCACTCTTGTCCTACAGCTTGGAGGAATCATCACCCTTGTCCTACAGCTTGGAGGAATCATCACTATTGTCCTACAGCTTGGAGGAATCATCACTCTTGTCCTACAGCTTGGAGGAATCATCACTCTTGTCCTACAGCTTGGAGGAATCACCACTCTTGTCCTACAGCTTGGAGGAATCATCACTCTTGTCCTACAGCTTGGAGGAATCATCAGGAAATTCTGTCGAACTGGCGAACTAATTGAATATTATGCCCCGCCTGCACGAACTGTATGACAAGTGTGATGTGGTAATAAGATTTCCTATCTCTTTCGTGGTATTTTTGTTGTAATTTCAAAGCATATGCTAATTTTACGTTAGTTTAAATTTTGCTCTCGTTGGATTGTTTTTTTTTTTTTTTTTTTAATAAATATTTTTATGACATGTCAGTATTTACATGACTAGAGAAGGCGATGTACGACACAAATTGATATGTAACGGTCGTGAACTATTCTGAAGCATAGTTAAGGGAAACGCTACCGATAGAGCGCACAAAAGATGAAACACAAGCTAACATAACAAATATCATTGTTGATTATTATTGTAATATTTATCCTTTATTCCGAGATCTAGAACTCTTTAAATGGACATCGAAGGATTCATTGCAGCCGAGTTAGGTGTCTAAGGAGACAGAAAAGGGGTCCTCGAGTGCACTATGTCTGACTCTGAATTTATATTAACAATTGTATGTCGTGTATGTCTGTCATAAACTACGTGCGTTTTATAATAAAAACCCGTAGATGTTTATGTATTTCCTGCCCTTTGTACAAGTACAAGATATAGATATGCTAATTTGTTTTGACCGAACGTAACCAAACCCCGATCATTATAGAGGTGTCTAGCGCCAGTCCTAAATTTCAAACTAAATACTAGACCGGAATCCTATCAGGTTCCGTGATTGAAGAATGATCCAGAGGTCCTCACCGATTAAAGACGATTTAAAAGGAAAAAAAATCAGACACATATATCTTGTTCGAATACCATTGGCTAGTGTCTCCTTAGGAAAACAAAATGCCTTCTGTATCAGGACACGAGAACTGTAAAATACTCCAGGAATAATGGTGTGTATAATAGTGTTACATATAGCGTGTACAACATGAGTTGCGGCCCCTGACTTATACCGCTCGCGTGTTATGGTGACTGGCTTGTATCGGTTATCAGTGGTCCTCTGACTTAGAGTTCAGTTTAAAAAACACAGAAAGAAAATTCCCAGAATCATAATTAAATAAACGGATGAAGAAAATGTTGTGTCTTTTTCTTTCGTCATTCCTAGGATGGTCATTTATCGCAATGGTAACGCCTTTGCTTTCAACTAGGCGACAGGGGTTCGAACTCACGAACGGATATGAAAAGATATGGGGCTGTCTGCCTGACGAAGTGTGTTTTCCCATGGTCCTCCAGCTTTCTCCAACAGTCAGACCTCTCACGCTCTACTCTGTGGACTAATGGTACGTTTGAGTAACGTTTTGAGTAACGTTTTGAGTAACTGTTGTAAAATGAAGCTAATAGCTAGTTACTCAGTATCACACTACGCATGCGCATGACGATGACCGGAGTTTGTTTCTGTGAACAGATTTAAACAGACAATAGAACACACGTTTTTATTGAGACTGATTTTATTTTGATGTCAACCGACAGAAGCTGAATATCTACTACATATCCACAGTGTGCGGACATAACGTGCCCAAATGGCGGAATCTCGTTAATCCGGAAAGGCTAGTCCCCAATATTCTGACGTAATAAAATTACCCAGTACTATCCAGTATAAGTCTATTTACTTAACTATGGGGCTTCTGCAACCTCACGTCTAGATTTTAAATCTACTTTTGATCAATTTTGTTTTTTCCGCCTCCTTGGCTTCATAAATTTAGGCCCTTAGCATCAATGACAAGCCCGAGAAAGACCAAACAGCTGTATGATGTAGTTTAATTCACAGTTTGGCTCTGCTGTATCTTACTCTAAATTATGAACAGTTGCTATTATTCACTTGTGTGCCTTTTAAATCTTCTAAAGGAAGCCCTTGCAGTTGAATTACCAATAAAAGTAATTTATTTATCACCTTACGGACTTCTCAAATAAATTGGGTGGTCGGGTGGCGCAGTGGTAACGAACCGGGTACTCCAGTTTCCTCCCACAATAACACCCCTCGCAATTGTTGTAAAATGAATAAAGTTTAGAATTTTTTTTTTAAAAAATTGTAATTATCGGAATCGATTTCGTGGAAAGCTAACGAATCCAGACTAGAGAGATTCCGCTGTATAAAGCAGTATTCGAGGAAGACGCCTTTGCCACAATGATATTTACACTAGAAATGGTCGCCTTAGAGAAGTTCCGTTATACAAGAGTAGGTCAGTGGCGAGTCTTTAAGTCATCAACCATAAATATCTGCCATGTACTGTCAGGATTAGTTTCAGCTATTCCAACATTTTATAGCGTGGAATAAAACTGATAGAAAAACACACACACTTTGAAAACGAAATGCTCCATATTCTGTTTAATGACGTTATCGAAAACACTTGTTTTTGCTGAAGATTTTGGTAAAACTTAAGGGACTTATTTCAAAGAAAAAAAAACTTGTTTTCAGAGTAATACCTGTATCCAATTTCGATGTTTTTTCCCGCTCTACACATTGGCACTTTTCGTTAACATCAACAATGTTCTCTGTAAACAATATTGAATATCCTGACAAAACATGTCATCAAATTAATTCCTTCTGTATTACATAACCAAGCAAGTTGCCTTAAAACAGACGCGATAATTACAATTAGTCTGTTCTCCCCTGTCTACGTTACACAACTTTGGCGCAGGACAGTAGTTACTGACAAAATAGACTCAACACAAAACATTACAATTAGTCCGTGTTCTCCCCTGTCTACGTTACACAACTTTGGCGCAGGACAGTAGTTACTGACAAAATAGACTCAACACAAAACATACAGATCATCATATCGATTTAAAGTCTACTTATTTCCGTATACCACGAACATGAGACATTAAAAACCCATTATAATAGTCAGTTTAGTGAGACTGGGTAACTTATTTATACCGTCTTAGAAACGGACCGTCCCACCTGGCAATAATTCAACATTGATATCCATTTACGATCAATATATATACAGACAAATAAAATAAAAAGCCACTCCAACGAAAAGAAAAAGACGAGCATTGTTCACGTGTAACTGTGTTAGATTTATTTAGCGTTTCTGGGATTGTCAACTTGTATACAGCAATGTTAAACCACTTAAATATGTCGTGTAGTCTTCGTAATGTGTCTTTAAAAAACCCAATACTTTCCGGGTAGGTTTTAATTTCTAGTTTTCAGTTGAATTAAACGCAAGGTATAAAGGTATTTTCTATCATTATTCATCGCTTTATCAAAAACATTTGTTTAACTAATTAACTGATAATTATTCACCGATCATGTTAACAAAAATTTCCAGAATGATCCGGGCGCCCATCATTGTCTTGTCCTCAAGATAAACTGATAACCAATTTCATATTCAGGTAACAAGATAACTGCCTGTTAGCTATTTTTTTTTTAAAAAAAATTAAATCGATTTCGTGGAAAGCTAACGGCACAAGATTCCGCTGTATAAAGCAGTATTCGATCAAGACGCCTTTGCCACAATGATATTTACACTAGAAATGGTCGAAAAGTTCCGTTATACAAGAGTAGGTCAGTGGCGACACCTTTAAGTCATCAACCATAAATATCTGCCATGTACTGTCAGGATTAGTTTCAGCTATTCCAACATTTTATAGCGTGGAATAAAACTGATAGAAAAACACACACACTTTGAAAACGAAATGCTCCATATTCTGTTTAATGACGTTATCGAAAACACTTGTTTTTGCTGAAGATTTTGGTAAAACTTAAGGGACTTATTTCAAAGAAAAAAAACTTGTTTTCAGAGTAATACCTGTATCCAATTTCGATGTTTTTTTTTCCCGCTCTACACATTGGCACTTTTCGTTAACATCAACAATGTTCTCTGTAAACAATATTGAATATCCTGACAAAACATGTCATCAAATTAATTCCTTCTGTATTACATAACCAAGCAAGTTGCCTTAAAACAGACGCGATAATTACAATTAGTCCGTGTTCTCCCCTGTCTACGTTACACAACTTTGGCGCAGGACAGTAGTTACTGACAAAATAGACTCAACACAAAACATTACAATTAGTCCGTGTTCTCCCCTGTCTACGTTACACAACTTTGGCGCAGGACAGTAGTTACTGACAAAATAGACTCAACACAAAACATACAGATCATCATATCGATTTAAAGTCTACTTATTTCCGTATACCACGAACATGAGACATTAAAAACCCATTATAATAGTCAGTTTAGTGAGACTGGGTAACTTATTTATACCGTCTTAGAAACGGACCGTCCCACCTGGGAATAATTCAACATTGATATCTATTTACGATCAATATATATACAGACAAATAAAATAAAAAGCCACTCCAACGAAAAGAAAAAGACGAGCATTGTTCACGTGTAACTGTGTTAGATTTATTTAGCGTTTCTGGGATTGTCAACTTGTATACAGCAATGTTAAACCACTTAAATATGTCGTGTAGTCTTCGTAATGTGTCTTTAAAAAACCCAATACTTTCCGGGTAGGTTTTAATTTCTAGTTTTCTAGTATCCACGTAAACGCAAGGTATAAAGGTATTTTCTATCATTATTCATCGCTTTATCAAAAACATTTGTTTAACTAATTAACTGATAATTATTCACCGATCATGTTAACAAAAAATTCCAGAATGATCCGGGCGCCCATCATTGTCTTGTCCTCAAGATAAACTGATAACCAATTTCATATTCAGGTAACAAGATAACTGCCTGTTAGCTATTTTTCGTTTCTGAAAAAAAAAAAAAAAAAATCAAAGGGGCACAACTAGGACGTAATCATAAACTACATTTGAAAATTGGAAAACACCTTACCAACTATTCTCAGGAGATAGCAATGCCAACCGGACCTCTGACCTGTCTGATGACGGACCTCTGACCTATCTGATGTCGGACCAGTGACCTATCTGATGACGGACCTCTGACCTATCTGATGACGGACCTCTGACCTATCTGATGACGGACCAGTGACCTGTCTGATGACGGACCTCTGACCTATCTGATGACGGACCTCTGACCTATCTGATGACGGACCTCTGACCTATCTGATGACGGACCAGTGACCTATCTGATGTCGGACCTCTGACCTGTCTGATGACGGACCTCTGACCTATCTGATGTCGGACCAGTGACCTATCTGATGTCGGACCTCTGACCTATCTGATGACGGACCTCTGACCTATCTGATGACGGACCTCTGACCTATCTGATGACGGACCTCTGACCTATCTGATGTCGGACCAGTGACCTATCTGATGTCGGACCTCTGACCTATCTGATGACGGACCTCTGACCTATCTGATGACGGACCTCTGACCTATCTGATGACGGACCAGTGACCTGTCTGATGATGGTGGTACATTAAATGTAAAATATCGTCCCCTAGACAACCCAAGGTAACATGGTGTAATAACATATAAACCAAGATGTACAAAGTGAGTTACAATCATTAAGTGGATACGTCATCAAAATAAGTGCCTCAATACGTCATTGTAATATATGTATGATTACGTCATCAAAATAAGTGCCTCAATACGTCATTGTAATATATGTATGATTACGTCATCAAAATAAGTGTCTCAATACGTCATTGTAATATATGTATAGTTACGTCATCAAAATAAGTGCCTCAATACGTCATTGTAATATATGTATAGTTACGTCATCAAAATAAGTGCCTCAATACGTCATTGTAATATATGTATAGTTAGGTCATCAAAATAAGTGCCTCAATACGTCACTGTAATATATGTATGATTACGTCATCAAAATAAGTGCCTCAATACGTCATTGTAATATATGTATGATTACGTCACCAAAATAAGTGCCTCCATACGTCATTGTAACATATGTATAGTTACGTCATCAAAATAAGTGCCTCAATACGTCACTCTTATATATGTATGATTACGTCATCAAAATAAGTGCCTCAATACGTCATTGTAATATATGTATGATTACGTCATCAAAATAAGTGCCTCAATACGTCATTGTAATATATGTATAGTTACGTCATCAAAATAAGTGCCTCAATACGTCATTGTAATATATGTATAGTTACGTCATCAAAATAAGTGCCTCAATACGTCATTGTAATATATGTATAGTTACGTCATCAAAATAAGTGCCTCAATACGTCATTGTAATATATGAATTGTTACGTCATCAAAATAAGTGCCTCAATACGTCATTGTAATATATGTATAGTTACGTCATCAAAATAAGTGCCTCAATACGTCATTGTAATATATGTATGATTATGTCATCAAAATAAGTGCCTCAATACGTCATTGTAATATATGTATGATTATGTCATCAAAATAAGTGCCTCAATACGTCATCGTAATATATGTATAGTTACGTCATCAAACTCAGTGCATCTGTAAGTCACTGTGATATATATATATATATATTAATACGTCTTCAACATCAGTGAAAGAATATATGTACGTCATGAATAGGAGATTATTGTAATCAGTGTAGTCTGTGTATAAGTAGGTAATGGCTATCAGCGTCCAGGTTCTCATTAAAACCAGTGTAGAACCTCTCCTTCATTAGCAATTTCTGACATTTTAAATATCAACACTGTTTGATATCACACTTTTCACATAATTATATAATTATGACGTCATGATTACGTAGTAGTGATAGGAGGCCAGGATCTGGACGTGAAGCGGACAGACGTTCCGGTTTACATTAGCCATATAAACCGAATTGATGGAAGCCTATGTTCATTTATACACAGTAGGTCATTCAAGCACGAAAAACGTCCTCATGACGTCTTCACTGACGTCAGCTTCTTAGGCTTGATGATTCTCTTTATCTTTGTCCTTTTCATCTGCTTTTTGCTCATGTGGTGTTTGAGTTTTGAGCTCCACCACACATTCTGTCCCAGGATATGCGGGTAAACACAAACCGTAGTTTTTCTCTAGGGTCTTGGGCACGAAGCGACCTCCAAGGTAATGATATTTTCCCTTAAACAACTTAGCACACAGTTTAGGCGCCGTGAGTGATATAAGAAACTCCGGCTGGAGTCCCTCCGGGTTTCCATTCTCTACATCCCAACCTGCAAAGAAAAGGTCAATAAAATGATAATTAGTTTGATATTTTCGTTATACAAACACGAAGAAATATCGAAATGGTTGTCAATATCATCACAACAATAAGGAGTAGGAAGAAAACATTCTGCTTTGAGTCATAGAAAGACGAAACAACTGTATGATGTAGCATCACTGACAAGTCCTAGAAGGACGAAACAACTGTATGATGTAGCATCACTGACAAGTCCTAGAAGGACGAAACAACTGTATGATGTAGCATCACTGACAAGTCCTAGAAGGACGAAACAACTGTATGATGTAGCATCACTGACAAGTCCTAGAAGGACGAAACAACTGTATGATGTAGCATAACTGACAAGTCCTAGAAGGACGAAACAACTGTATGATGTAGCATCACTGAAGAGTCCTAGAAGAACGAAACAGCTGTATGATGTAACATCAATGACGTGTCCTAGAAGGACAAAACAGCTGTATGATGTAGCATCACTGAAGAGTCCTAGAAGAACGAAACAGCTGTATGATGTAACATCAATGACGAGTCCTAGAGGGACGAACCAGCTGTGTCATGTAACATAACTTATGAGTCCTAGAAGGACGAAACAGCTGTATGATGTACCATCACTGACATATCATAGAAGAACGAAACAGCTGTGTGATGTAACATCTATGACGAGTCCTAGAAGGACGAAACAGCGGTATGCTGTAGTATCACTGACCAATCCTAAAAGGACGAAACAGTTGTATGATGTAACATCAGTGACGAGTCCTAGAAAGACGAATCGTTTCACTGGTACATTGAATATGTGGATGAAAAATCGATATATTGAGAACGTTTCATAGGAACAATGACAGTGACGTCAGCATCACGGGGCGCTACCGATGAGGTACGATTTCACGCGCTTTGAACATGATCACGTGGACATCTTATCTTAAAGATACTTAGCTGACTTCCTGAATCTACTAGTACACAGGATACTTTTTCTCGATAACTCTTCAATCCTCTGTTTTGTTTCCCGTCCGTACCCCTCTAGACAGACGCCCTAACGGAACCGTCAACAAAAATAATAAATTTCACGGAGTTAATATGTTACAAAATGGTCGGTACGTGTTATCTTTGTGAGGATCATATTTAAACTCAATCCGCTCGATTGCATGAGTTAAGAGATTGTCTACACAACAGTTACTGCCAATCTCTCAGTATCCTGTTAGATTTTATTCGTCAGTCAGACAACTTTCTCTTCCCTTATCTCAAGAAACGTCACTGGTGTTAAAATCCTCTAAAAGACAATACTATTGTCTGTCTCACTTTTAATCTGATTGTTGACGACGAAGAAGACAGTTACAGAGAACATCTCCGAGGCTATATAACAACGTTTTAGACATTATCTGCTGGGCTTCAGGCAACAAAACATACGATAAACGTGACATTGGTTTATCAAACATTTATCAAGTTGCATTTGACGGATCTTCAGCCTCAAAGAAGACAAACCGTACAGAAGATAAGGCTGTAATTCTACTAAGTAATAACAGTTGGAATGAGCTGTCTGTATGTTTGTAAGATAGAACAGTGTCACAGCACAAGTAATACACAATTACGTCATCAACGTAGAACAACATATCCAACAAATAACACATTAATAGATGATTACAGGACAAGCGTCCATGAAGTTTGTGAAACGAGTTCAATACTTTTCATCAAATCATTTTACCATGACATTGCCTTGTGTGTCTGTGATGAGAAACATGTTATATTTTGTGGTATTTGACAGATGAAATATCAATAATTGTTACGTCAGACTTTTTTAATGAAATGACGTCACACACACAGGGCATTGTGACGTAATACTAGATACAATGTACAGTTTCGGGAAAGGAATTAATTTAAGCTCTGGGGTTGTTTTCCCATCCCATGCGTATTATATGTTTATGTTATAATGATGAATACTGAATGAAATATTGTTTAAACCAATATAGATATCGTGCCGACATTACTACATGTCTGACGTAGAAATGTCCATTTTCTACGATATTTACACGCATTAGCAAACTTGTGATAAAAGTAAGCAAGCAGTTTTAATTAGTGCTACTCGAATTCTTCTCATCTCGTAATTACGAGATTTCATGTCGTAATTCAGACTTCGTTATCTCGTAAATAAGTCGTAATTCAGACTTCGTTATCTCGTAAATAAGTCGTAATTGCTTGTTAAATCGTAATTATGAGATAAAATATAACTTCAAAAAACTTCCGTAGATGACAGTATACAATAGATCAAACAATATTAGTTAAAAGAGGTAGGATTTGATAAAAATATATGTTGAATTTGAAGTTAAAGGACAGTAATTCCACTCGAATATTCCATCAATAACGGGTTATTTACAGCAAGTTACTAAAATAACGAATACAAAGACCGTGTTACGTCATACATAGACAGTGTTACATCATACAAAGACAGTGTTACATCATACATAGACAGTGTTACATCATACAAAGACAGTGTTACATCATACAAAGACAGTGTTACATTATACAAAGACAGTGTTACATCATACAAAGACAGTGTTACATCATACATAGACAGTGTTACATCATACAGAGACAGTGTTACATCATACAAAGACAGTGTTACATCATACAAAGACAGTGTTACATTATACATAGACAGTGTTACATCATACAAAGACAGTATTACATCATACATAGACAGGATTACATCATACAAAGTCAGTGTTACATCATACATAGACAGTGTTACATCATACAAAGACAGTGTTACATCATACATAGACAGTGTTACATCATACAAAGACAGTGTTACATCATACAAAGACAGTGTTACATTATACAAAGACAGTGTTACATCATACAAAGACAGTGTTACATCATACATAGACAGTGTTACATCATACAGAGACAGTGTTACATCATACAAAGACAGTGTTACATCATACATAGACAGTGTTACATCATACATAGACAGTGTTACATCATACATAGACAGTGTTACATCATACAAAGACAGTGTTACATCATACATAGACAGTGTTACATCATACAAAGACAGTGTTACATCATACAAAGACAGTGTTACATCATACAAAGACAGTGTTACATCATACAAAGACAGTGTTACATCATACAAAGACAGTGTTACATCATACATAGACAGTGTTACATCATACAGAGACAGTGTTACATCATACAAAGACAGTGTTACATCATACAAAGACAGTGTTACATCATACATAGACAGTGTTACATCATACAAAGACAGTGTTACATCATACATAGACAGTGTTACATCATACAAAGACAGTGTTACATCATACAAAGACAGTGTTACATCATACAAAGACAGTGTTACATCATACAAAGACAGTGTTACATCATACAAAGACAGTGTTACATCATACAAAGACAGTGTTACATCATACATAGACAGTGTTACATCATACAAAGACAGTGTTACATCATACATAGACAGGATTACATCATACAGAGACAGTGTTACATCATACATAGACAGTGTTACATCATACAAAGACAGTGTTACATCATACATAGACAGGATTACATCATACAGAGACAGTGTTACATCATACAAAGACAGTGTTACATCATACATAGACAGTGTTACATCATACAAAGACAGTGTTACATCATACAAAGACAGTGTTAAATCATACAAAGACAGTATTACATCATACAAAGACAGTGTTAAATCATACATTGACAGTGTTACATCATACAAAGACAGTGTTACATCATACAAAGACAGTGTTACATCATACAAAGACAGTGTTACATCATACATAGACAGTGTTACATTATACATAGACAGTGTTACATTATACAAAGACAGTATCACATCATACATAGACAGTGTTACATTATACAAAGACAGTGTTACATCATATATAGACAGTGTTACATCATACATAGACAGTGTTACATCATACAAAGACAGTGTTACATTATACATAGACAGGATTACATCATACAAAGACAGTGTTACATTATACAAAGACAGTGTTACATCATACAAAGACAGTGTTACATCATACAAAGACAGTGTTACATCATACAAAGACAGCGTTACATCATACAAAGACAGCGTTACATCATACAAAGACAGTGTTACATCATACAAAGACAGTGTTACATCATACATAGACAGTGTTACATCATACATAGACAGTGTTACATCATACATAGACAGTGTTACATCATACAAAGACAGTGTTACATCATACATAGACAGGATTACATCATACAAAGACAGTGTTACATCATACAAAGACAGTGTTACATTATACATAGACAGGATTACATCATACAAAGACAGTGTTACATCATACATAGACAGTGTTACATCATACATAGACAGTGTTACATCATACATAGACAGTGTTACATCATACATAGACAGTGTTACATCATACATAGACAGTGTTACATCATACAAAGACAGTGTTACATCATACAAAGACAGTGTTACATCATACATAGATAGTATTACATAATACACAGAAAATGTAATATAATACAAAGAATTTATCTTCTGATGAAATACACTGAGCTGCTCCAGCGCTCTTATGTTTAGTAATTGTCAAAAAACTATAACACATGTACCAAAACAGGTAATGGATTGCTTCCGAGCAACAACGGGTACTTGTATTAAATTGTGTAAGTAAAAACTGCTGACTGTGATAGTAGATTAAGTGTAATGATGATCATAGAAGATGAAAATGGCGCACATTAGATCAACATGGATGGGAAAACGAGTTCTCCGGGACAATGAAGGAGGGCAATACTAGTCGGAGATTGGAGTCTGAATAGTTAATTTGTGTTCAATGACGGAATCGAGGTTTTCTTGTAAGGACGGGAAAACATCACGCTTGACACAGTAATGATGGAGAACAAATCTATAGACGATGTGACACCACACACTAAACAGGAACTGTTCGTCACGTAGGAGAATAAACCATAGCCCTTAACATACAGGAC